TCGATCCCGGGTTGGCTGGGAAAATTGAACCCCCTCAACCACTCGGCTAAGCTTCAGACTTGTGTTAGTGGGTTCAAAATTTAATATATACATATAAAAATTTTAAAACTGATTAAATATACATATATATACAGTGTTATTTTTCAACAAAGTGGGTTCATATGAACCCACTTGAACCACTGTAGGTCCGCCCCTGGTTTGATAGGATACATTAAAGAAAATAATATATATATTAGCTATGCACCTAATTCATTATAAGAAGATGTGTAACTAGTATATAATAAATCATGACATTAACAATACAAAAGTTAGTAATACATATATGTATGGTTAGCGACAAAATCATCTCAGAGAAACCAAATCAAACAGTGGATAAGAAGTCATTTCAACATAACAAAATATCATCATTACTAATTTGAATATTACTAACACATTCTATTTAGTACTATTTTTATACATTTTGCCAAACGACCCCTAAAAGTTGCCCATAAAGCAAGTGAAAATCAAAAGTTTAAGACCATCCACTTCTAAGACAATTCGTATATTGTTTCATTCAATTTTATATCTCAAACTAAAATTTCTAATCTAATTTGAAAGTCTCATGAGCAATAGAACTTGAAGAAAATTACTAAAACTTTATGATGAATACATGCAATATACATTAGGTTACTTATATAACTTAGGGGCCAAATCCATCACTTTTAAAATATATTAAGGACTATTTTCATCATTAACCAAAATTTATACACAGCGAGAGAGGGAAAGGGGGAAATTACTCACAGCGCGCCTCAATGGAGGTTTCAACTTTTTTTGAATATTCGTAGGGTTCTTACTTTCTTCTTCTTCTGCTGGATTTCAATTTTTAGCGAGTTTTCTTCTCTGATTTCTCAATTTCTTCGATCTGCTTCGTCGATTCTCGAATCTTCTATGAACAATTTCGCCCTAATTCTTTCATAAAAAGCTTCCTTATTAAGCAATGGTTCGAGCTGTAAAACGCGAACCAGTTAGTACTCCCGGTAATGGAGCCAAGACAAGGAGAAATGGTGCCGCAGCGGCAGAGGCAGTGGCGGCAGCAGTAGCAGGCCCTAGCAATAGCAACAACAATAACAGTTCAGTGGAGGAAGAGACTATAATAGGGCGAAGAGTTCTTCGTTCTCATTATCTCAATTTTAAGAATCGGATTTCTGGTAATTTAGTAGTTTCATAATTTTTGCTCCTTTATATGCTTGCATTCAGTTTTTTTGTTTGTTAATTTTATCATTTTATGTGTGATTAGATACTCTGTTGCATAACTGAGTAGATTCATGACTTATCTAATTAGAATTCAGATATGGAATTTAGGTATTCAGATAGTAATGCAACTCACTATTGGTGAAATAGCTATAGATAATTATACTTTTCATTTGAACAAATATAATGCCAAACGAAACAAAACAAAAATCTAAAATGTAGTATCTTTTTCACTGAAATCATGGTAGTCGTAGTGTCGTAGAGAATCGTCATTTTCATCTTCTTTAAATTTGCTAGCAACTAATTCTTACCTTTTTTTTGGATGGTTTTAAGATTAGTTTCCGTTGGAGTTAAAAGAGTTCGATTTTGATTTTATGGTGAATATTTCATGTTAGTAAGTTGATTCCATGAATGCAACTGGTGCTGCTGTCGTTTTTGCATAATTAGGCGATAATATTTGTGTGTTTGTTGCAGATGAGAGAGATAATATATCAACAGTTGATTCAGATAGATTTAAGTCAATAATTGAGGAAGTTGAAAGGCTACATCAGCAAGGTATTGATTCAAGTTTTACGTTTCTGGTGCATTGATACTATATGTACTATTTTTAATGTAGCTTATATATGCCTGTGTGAGTGTGCAATTTGTGCTCTGAATGCCCCTCCACCTTGAAAATAAGTTACACAATTGTTTTTTCTAGAGTTTTGGAAGTACTACTGCAAAAGTTGAAATTTTCGCAGCATGCAGTTGCTAAATCTCATGGTCTATTTGGCAAAAGAATTAGTGCATTTGAGAATAGATGGTTTCTTCAGTAATTGGATTGATAGCCTTTCATTACTTGCTCGCATAACTATGATTGATTTGTTAGATTAGTCTGTTTCTCAAATCTTTATTTTATGCTGAGTTAAAACCTTATTAAAAAAAATAAATTAAGCAAAGCTGAGTGTAAGTGGAAATTACTTTCTTCAGAAAGCTGATGGAATGCCTGATAATTTCCTTTAAACTTGGAGCATGAGAAATATATATTTTATCATTTTCCCTCCAACTTTTGGGATTTATTTAATTGTTGAGAAATGAAACAAAAGCTTATTCTTTTAGATTTTTAAGGTTCACAACCCTGATGACTCATTAACACTATCATATTTGAATATTCTGAATTCAGCCAGAAGTTATTTTCTTTTTTATATATAGTGCAAAAACCTAGGGAACAGGTCGCCGATGCTGAAGCCTTGCTGGACATCACAAACACGTTGGTGACGACTGTAAAGGCACATAGTAATGGAGGTGTGACCCCTTCAGATTTTGTTAGTTGCTTACTTAGGGACTTTGGCCAAGAAGGTGGATCCAGCCGTAGGACAGAAGAGGATGGAAACTCTGTGCACTGGTACAATGTTGGTCGTGCAGTCTCTCATGTTTTCAGGGGTGCTCCTGGATGCTGCACTATGTAATTGTTCAATCATCCATCTTCTTTCTTGATAGGTACTCCTTTGTCAGTTGAAACAGATGTTAATCTATATTATTCACAGGATTGGACCTATGAATACTGAAATTAAGCAACGCAATCCTGTGGTTCGTAAAAAGCGTGTGATGCCAACAGAAAGTGAACACCCGGAGGAGGTATAAATTCCGATTTACAAGCCTCTACACGTCCTTGCTTATTTTGTGGAGAAATTGGATGATGAAATTGCTACCCCTTATCAGAAGCTGGAATATATATTGAGCTAAAACATTTAAAGTACTTTACTCTGATGTTTTCTGTTAGAAGAAATCAAATCTGTAGAAGAATTGGGTCTATCACTAAAATAGTTTAAGCAAGCATTTTGTTTGGATACTATTATCTTGTAGATTTCCATAGCTAAACTATTTCTCTGTATGCAATCGTGTTTATTCATTCTATTTTACATGCTGCTGACTGCAGTCATTTTTCATCTGTAGTTCCTCTGAACTGTATAAACCACTAGCTAACTTTTTCCTACTTTGGTGAAATGAATTGTATCCTAAGATTTCTAGATATATTTTCAGCTAGATGAACCTGATGGTGAAGGCAAGACAGACACTGACAAGAATATGGCGACAATGTTCCAAATTCTAAGGAGGCATAAAGGTGCCAAACTTGAAAACTTAATCCTGAATAGAAGATCCTTTGCACAAACAGTTGAAAATTTGTTTGCCCTATCGTTTCTAATTAAAGATGGGCGGGCAGACATAACTGTTGATGACAAAGGCTGTCATAGGGTTTGTAAGTTTCTTACATCCATAGTTGTTTTCTCATTTCTCGTCTTTTGCTACTTCTTGTTTCATGACTTGAGTAACTAATGCTTATGCAGCACCAAGGAATGCGCCTGCTTCTAATGCAGTCCTTTCTGGGGAGGTTTCTTATAACCACTTCGTCTTTAGATTTGACTTCCAGGATTGGAAGGTAATGCAAACCATCTCTCTCTCTCCCTCTCTCTCAAATAATACATGACTGTGGATGTTTTGGTGGTCTATATTTTGTATCTGTTGAGATTGCCGTATTAGCACACTGAATGACTTTCTATCTTCTACTAAAACTATGTTTCTCACACAAACCTAATGGCCAAGGATTTGGAGTGAGTTGACGACAAACAACTGTCAAATTTGTATAATTCTGCACTAATAACGTGTTTGATCAGTTTTGCCATCCGGCTCATTTTCATCTGTGATTCGTAACAGTTTATTGCTCTAAGCAAGTTTTCTACCACTTTACTGCACATTTTTGAATATGTTAAATGATCATTTTAAGTCCGATAATGATCTGAATTTTCATCCTTATATGCAGCTTATGTTAGCTTCTGTTGCTGTTGGAGATGAATTAATGCCACACAGAAATGAAGCGGATATACCAGCCACTTCTCAACCAGCATCAAGTACCGTAGATAAGGAACAAGCTGTTTCAACAACACCTATAAGGAAGTTATCTCGGAATCGTGGTCTGGTTTTGCAGGAGCAGACTGTAGTTGAAGACTCCCCAGAAAGTGACAATTCTGCAAGAGCTGCTGCCATTCGTAAAGGAAAACGAAAGCTCACACAAGACTAAGCTACAGTTTATCCACTTTGAGATGATGCAGGACGTTCCTTAGTTATTGGTGAAGTATTAGGAATTTGTTAACTTCCTTCTGATTTTCTTCCCACCCCCTCTTTGGCCAATATCTCTTTGGTTAATAGCGTAGAGGTGCCAAATGGACATTAGTTGGGGACATGGGAATTCAAATGTTGGGAAATCCCCCAAGTGAGTTTTATGCTTTCTGTAAATTGTTCTCCGTTTGTAGTAAACAAGTAATTGTGGCACTGGTGGTAACAATTCAGTGTTTTTTTTTCTCCAAATGACGACACTCTGCTAGAATTTCATAATAGCTTAGCTGAATTTCTTAGAGAAGTTGGTATTGACCCTGTTGTATATTTTTATGGTACGCCTGGATGACCATGGTTGGTGCAGAGGAAAAAAAATTATTATTTTTTTGGGTAATCAGAAAGAAAGGTACGTCTGCAGAATCAAGAGAAGGAAACTGTATTCCTATCTATCCAACCCCTTATTAGTAGCTGATAGCTGATAGTTGTATTAGTAGTAGTTCTAATAAAATATCGTGTTATTTTTGGATAATGTATTATCTAGTTCATTATGAAAATGATAATTTTGTATCGAACTTGTGAATTCAAATTATGTTTCATGTTTGTTTTTTCTTTTAGGAGTGAAATATGTTTCTGAAAATATATGGCCAGACACGTATAGAAACTTCACGGAAAACTGGTTTCCCAAAAATATATGGAAATCTATAATCAAACGCTAGCTTAATGTAGATAGTCAGGTAACACACTGAAATAAATAATGAGGACCGCAGCTAAAACTGAGATTGCCTCGTACAAATTAAGTTACCTTTTGGAAAAAGATACGATGTCACTAACAATTGCTATCCGGAATCTATGACAGATAAACAAAACAAAGTTTCTCTAGATCACCAAAGCCATACTAGCATTGCCTCTAGCACTAGCTCTTATTATCTTTTGGGATATCGAGACCCGTGAAAGCTGGGCTGTCAACTCCAACTCCCATCGCATTCAGACCATTGTCAACATACACAGTGGCACCAGTAATCGCTGAAGCCAAAGGAGATGCCAGAAAAGCAGCAGTGTTCCCGACCTCCTCTGTTAGATCCAATTTCAGGTTAGATACTCGGAAACAATAGAGCCGCAAACAACATACATTAATACGACTTTGAAAATCAATTCTTTTCAGCATTCTCAGTGGAAAAGAAACATTAAGGGTGTGACTAACCAGCATATAACTCCTTTTGCAAAGGAGCATTCTCCAGTGAGTAATTTATCATCATGTCGATAAAGCCAATAGCTTTTGCTGCACGACTTCCCAGTGGACCTGGAAAACAATTTACTTGTTTAATTTTCGGCAATGGGATTCCAGATTTATGAGCACTGAGCACGTTGGAAGGAAGCCAAGAAAATAGGACTGTTTTGTGTAAGTCGAACACACAAAAAAGGGTTGAAGAGGTTCTCCACCAAATATATTTTTATACAGTTTAGTTTGTCATGGTCTCATGGAACTGAAGGGATGTACTAACATGGAAAACATACTCTTCCCGTGACGGGAATAAGCTACAAGCTTTGAAAATGCAGCATGTTTTTGAATTAGTTTGTGCAGCAAAATTTCAGAATTCAAAGAGCATCAAGTTATGCGAAAAACTGAGTGTTGTGAAGCATACCTGCAGATATCGTGTTGACTCTGACTTTGTGCTTTCTTCCAGCTTCAAACGCCAGGACCTTCAACAAAAACGTTTATACTACTCTTAAGTGATGCTCATAGTTGAAGCTAAAGGAAATGAGATATGGATTGTTGAAAATAAAATTAGCAACAAACTTACTTTTGTGTCACTCTCCAAAGCAGCTTTTGCCGAACTCATACCGCCTCCATATCTGTAAATTCAAGAAGAATACTAAACTTACACTGAGTAATTAATTAACTTCAATCTAGGCAATTAAGGAGAGTCATACCCAGGGATAATCCTTTCAGAAGCAATGTACGTTAGAGAGATTGTGGCACCGCCTGCAAGGGAAGGACATAGTTGACAGATTCAGATTTTTTTCTTTCTTTTTCAAAACGGTTTCAGAAAAGGAGTTGTCTGATGAACAGCACGTCATTCACTAATTTTGTATTACTAAAATAACGAAAAACAACAGAAGGTTAACAAGAGTTTACCTGGATTCATTATGGGAAGAAAATGCTTTAGTAGAGATATAAAGGAATAACTGGAGGCAGATATAGCTGCAAGGTATCCTTTTCTTGATGTCTCCGATAGAAGTTTGCTAACCTACAATAAGTATTTAAAAGTTATTGGCCTCATGAAGATTAGGCATGGACTTACAGAAAACAATGAAAATAAGAAGGAGAAGTGTACCTCTGGACCATTTGCAAGTGAATGTACAAGGATGTCAATAGTGCCAAAATCTTGTTTTACAGATTCAGCAACTTCCTAAAATATTAGAAATTGCAAGGTTATTTAACAAGTTTATCAGCTCTGTTGACATAATGCATTCCCTAACATACAACACGGATTTACTACTTTACATATAACATAGATAGTTCAACTACAAAAATGGAGGAGAAAATGATAACCAAACACAAGTTCCAGCATCAATGATGCCTATAGCATATAATTAAGTCTTTACTGATAACCAAACACAAACACCAGCAGTCACCAGTAATGATGCATATAGGACACAATGAAGTCTTCCTAACCACATCTTTTTTGGCGCAATAGTTCTAGGGAGCCAAGGTTCAAGAAGATTTTACATAAAAATTCTAGTGCCTTGGTACTATCTGTAGCACCAAAACATAATAATATGAATGTCAACTATAAGCAATGTGCAAAGATAGGGTGGAGAAAGGTGAGACAACCAGAAACATCTGATATATGTTTGAATACTCTTTGACATGCATGAACCAAAGTTTCCTTTAACATGAGCATTAACAATTACATATGATTGCATGTAGGCACATATCCAGTTGAAAAATATGATAAACACCAACAAATATGTAGAGCATAATACCGAGACAGTCCACTTTGAGGATCCGGCGTAACGTTTGTTTGTTTTCACCTGCACCATACAAATTTCACCAAGAATGATTAGACTTGTACAATTTTCCTATAATTCGTTGGTAAGAGTTATCTTACATCCTCAGGAACATCTTCTGGACTGTCAAAAACTGCATCCAATGGGTAGACTTTTGCAATTTCCATCAATGAACCATCAGGCAACCTAAAACATCAAATTACATTATCCCTCTGAAAAGAATGGGGGAAAAGAGTACATGGAAAGAAAAAACATCATCATTCTTACACTCGTGATTGGTCAAATTTCCCACGGCGCAGACTGGTCTCGAAAATGTTGAGCGCCTAAAATATGAAGTTATTAGAAAAGATTACCTCTTTGACATTGCTATAAGTAACAAGTAGTAGTAACTTCATAAACAAATCAAATATATACGTACAGGCACCCATGTACCAACAAGAATTTCAGCCCCTGCAGCAGCAAGAGACTTTGCTATTGCCCATCCATACCCATTGTCATCTGCTATGCCAGCAATAAATGCCCTCTTACCTGCATCAATAAGAAATAGCAATCACTTATTGCAAGTATGAACTCTGAATTTCTGCACAAAAACTCAACTCAAAGGAGAATTCATAGACACTTCAGAGCAACCTCTCAGATCAATAGGCAACCCTGAAACTGGCACTTGTTCACTAGCTCCAGACATTGCTTTTGTAACCATCCTTTCAAATTTTATAGGAGCCAATTTGAAGCTATGGATTGGCTTCGTGAGCGAGATATGTGATGAACTTCTAAAATCACTAAAAGATTTTCTTTTACTTCCAAAACTGAAACTCATAGTGCTCATTTTCGAAATATTCTGAGATGCGGAAATGCATTGTTTGGTTGCTTGTATTTGCAAGCCAGGAGTTGTGTTTGCAGCCATTTCCAACAAAAAAGAATCTGAAGGAATCATAGATGGTCAGTGCAACGAAATATCATTTAACCAGGAAAACATATATTATAACACGTTAACATCTAAGCAATTTGAGAAATAAAATCAGTCAAATCCAAATGTGTAAGTAAGTAGATGTAAAGCTTAGAATTGTATCTAACGAGATATTATTCCATATAACACAAATCTGAACTCGGGAATAACCCCCCACCCACCCCAAAAAATGATGAAGTTAAGCATTCATGAACAACCTCCATCAAGCGCTCAAAAATAAGAATGATCAAGCATCACCCCAGCTTAAAAATGTGTGCTTGGTAGAAAATATTTTCCGGTAAGATATTTATCAAAGATCAATGTTAATGCAAGGAAAGTGGATGACGTTTTGATTAAAAAAATTTGATAATAATGTCTGAGTGTTGTTGGAGAAGGCAATATGAAGTTAAAAGTTGAAAAAATTGTAAAGAAAATTAACTTCCACTAGGAAACTGGATAGCATTCTTTCTCTCTTTGGTGAAAAATGGTTCTGTTCGTGAAAATTTTCCATCATAACATGCACAACCTACAACATCTACCCTCAATCCAAATCATGATGAGGTCAGCTATATGAATTGTCATTCACTCATTTAAGCTCAACTCATATCATCATTATACCAGACACAACCTATAATAAATAATAGCAGAAAAAGCTAAAAACATAGCTCAAGCAGTACAGGAATGATATTACAGATGCATACACTCAAATGCATTCTAATTTCCAGATTTAATCAAAAATACAAAACGGAAACAAAAAAATCCGACAAAAAAACTGAGATATCGTAGCTCAAGTAGTACATGAGTGATAATACAGATGCATACACTCAAATGAATTCAAATTTCCAGATTTAATCAAAATACTGAACGGAAACAGAAAATTCCACTGATATATCGTAGCTCAAGTAGTACAGAAGTGATATTACAGATGTATACATTCAAATGCATTTTAATTTTCTCCAGATTTAATCAAAATACAAAACGGAAACATAAAATTCCGACGGAAAACACAAAATCGCGAACTGATAGAGATATGAATTGATCAATGTAGCAAATCTAAACAGCATTTGGATCATAAATGTTTCTGAAAAAAATAACTCACCTCAAGTCGATGAACACGAAGAAACAATGCTTAAAGAAGAAAATAAACTGATTTAGATTTCTCAAAGTAGAATTAATATAGGTCTCTTTCGATGAAATCGAAGTTGAGGAGCTTTGAAAATGTAGCGAGTGAGAGTGCTAACAGGTGGGACTTTTGGCTCTTCTGTTGAATGGCAATTTTACCCTGTTAAGGGTTGGGCTTATAGGGCTTATAGCCCAACTCCATTAGTAGCCCGTCAAAAAAGTGAGCCTAGCAGATTTACCTTATAATAATTAGGTAGAAATATTATATAGGGGAGAATAATAATAATTAGGTAGAAATATTATATAGGGGAACTAAGTAAATACCTCATAAAAGTAAAATAATTACATACATATATTCCTTTATATTCATACCCCACTAAATAATTATTTTATATACCCTCAACTAATTTCGATTAACTGATACTAAATCAGTATTATACATTCTATTGGTATTATTAAGGCTGGTAATTTCGCTTAACTGATACTAAAACAATATCATAGATTGTATTGGTATCATTAAGATTGATAATTTCGCATAATTGATACTAAATCAGTATATGTATACACACTGTATTGGTATAATTAAGGTTTCTTGTTCAGAAACTACTCATTAGTCAATGATACTATAAGAGTATGTATACTCTTATAGTATCATAGACTAATGAGTAATTTCTGAACAAGAAATCTTAATGATACCATAAAAAAAATATATATATACTCTTATAGTATCATTGATTAATAAGTCATTTTTGAACAAGAAATCTTAATGATACCACAACAATATATACACACTCTTATAATATCATTGACTAATGAGTAATTTCTGAACAAGAAACCTTAATGATACTAATACAATATATATAGTGATCTAGTATCAAGTTAAGCGAAATTATCAACCATAATGGAACCAATACAATAGATGGTACTGATTTTGTATTAGTTAAGTGAATATTATCAGTCTTAATGACACAAATACAATATATGATATTGATTTTGTATCAGTTAAGCGAATATTATCAGCCTTAATGATACCAATACAGTATATGATACTGATTTAGTATCATATATGTAGAAATTATCAGTCTTAATAGATGAGGGGTATGAGTTGTAATTATTTATGAGAGAATGGGTATTTCAGGAATTATTTTGGATTTGGGTATGAACTTATTTTGGATTTTATGACCCATTTATGTAGTTTTCCCTATTATATACCCGCGCAGTGGCATCAAGATTTTCACTCAGGGGGTTAGAAAAGTAGGGATTTGGGAAGTGAAACTTGATTTTTTTTTGGGGTTCAAATCCACACTTTTAGGAACTGAAACTAAATGAAAAGAAAGTTAAAAAAAAATAAAAATAAGGATTATTTGGGAAGTGAAACTTGAACTTTTTGGGGTTCAAATCCACACTTTTAGGAATTGAAACTAAATGAAAATAAAGCTAAAAGAACAAACACTTACGCTGGGATTCAAACTCTTGACGCTATTATATACCCGCGCAGTGGCATCAAGATTTTCACTCAGGGGGTTAGAAAAGTAGGGATTTGGGAAGTGAAACTTGATTTTTTTTTGGGGTTCAAATCCACACTTTTAGGAACTGAAACTAAATGAAAAGAAAGTTAAAAAAAAATAAAAATAAGGATTATTTGGGAAGTGAAACTTGAACTTTTTGGGGTTCAAATCCACACTTTTAGGAATTGAAACTAAATGAAAATAAAGCTAAAAGAACAAACACTTACGCTGGGATTCAAACTCTTGACGCGAAAGTTAACTTAAAGGAGACCTTCCACTGCGCTATAGCTTTCTTCTTGTCCATGAGATGGTTCAAAATTAATTTATCTACATAAATACAAAAAATTTACCTTATATATATAGTGTAATTTTTTGCCTAAGGGGTAGGGTGAACCCCTGTAACCCACGTGGGTCTGCCCCTGTACCCGCGCATATATTTTAAACATGTGGATATAAATGCATTTCATTATTGTTATGAACATAACAATGTGTTTCGCTATAATAATATTGTATCTGTGTGGACACAATATATTCACTATATTTTGAAACAAACTATTGTTACGTAAAACATGTCAACTTAAAAATATGTTAGTCTTTCTTCTTCTCATGCCTTTTGCATGATGGACCATCACATAGACAACCTTTTAGGATCGAGGTTTGTTCCACCGTCGTATTAAATTAACATTTAAGTTCAAAATCATATTTATCATGGTCCAACTTCATATTACGTATTTTCTCTCCCCAACATACGTTATAAATTTATCTCTTGAACTACACCATCAACGAGTTTAAAAACACACATACACTTGTATATGTTGTGTCTTATGAAACTCTTCACTCTTTATTTTCATTTCTTTTTTGGTAACACTGTTAATATTGTCATAGACAACAAAAACCACGTGAGTACAAGCTAAAGAGCACCTCGACATCTTTTTATAACATGCCAGATGAGGCCTTAGAAAGAAAGCAAAAAAAAGTTACATATGTAATCTCTGCATTAATCCTTTAGTAATATGAAGTTTCTTGTATATGTAATGTAACATCGATCTATCTGTCAATTCCTTCTTTATATGCTTAATTGACCTCTCTGTATATACATTTTGACCCTCGAACAACTTTCAATTTTGAGTCCTCCATGTATGGTAGATCATTGCCCCCATAAGGCTGTAATAACCTCCTTCTATATGGATTTCCAGTGTTTCATCCTTATTTTCATTAACATTTGTCGCACACTCCTATGTTATATATTTGATTTCAGTCCATTGCATTATAATTTTCTTAACTGTTTCAAATTATGCACTTTCATCAAATAGATGATTAGTGGTTCCCTCATAGTTATACAATCAATATTGTAGGCTATCCATATGAATATTCAACTAGTTCAATCTCCCATTGATGAGCCGTCTCTCTTTAATAACTAACCACATAATAAACCTATCTTTAGACTATGCTACTGTATTCCAGATTAAAACAACAACATCAACCTTTTCTTGGTTTCCTAAGATAGCTAAATAGCTTTCGAAATAGAGTACTTCCCTCTCAAAATCAAGTTGTATTTTTCCTGCGTATACCGATCTCTCATGTCATCTCTTAATGATCTTAACTTTTTCTAATATCAACTGTAGTCTCGAAAATGCTTATATTCCATTTGTGTTATCCTTATCTTTTCCATTTCAATATGGTATTTACTTAAAATATCACCTGCATATCTTCTTCAAAAACTTATCTGCATAGAAATTTATCTGTCTGTCTGATACAATATACATTTGTGTTATGCCATATAAATTCCTTCACTCTCTTTTTTACATTTCAATATGAGTATTTACTTAAATATCACGTGCATATCTTCGTCAAAAACTTATCAACCTAAAAATCCGTCCTTCATCATGAGCATCACCCTATTGGACCCAACTTAAAAGGCCTCAAAAATACAACTAAAGCCCTAGGATAGTAGATCCACAAAGTGCACGTAATTTGATATAGCACGTGACCTCCTCCAATTTCTCCACGTCGTAATTTCGTCCTCCAAATAAATTCAAAGAAAATATCAAAGATATTCCCATTATTATCCACTGTTCATATATATCTCATTCTCCTCATCTTCACGCTCTCTTCTCCTTCACCGATAAACCCTAGAACTAGGGTTAGGGTTTTAACCTACTGGTTTTTTTCATTCGTCTACTTCTACTGCTTTGCTTAGGGCTCTATAGGCCGTAGTTATATTTTCCTTTTGTTTTTTTTCAGAGTTTTTTTGTTCAGTTATTCGAATCTGAGTGTTTTAAGTAGCTATGGATTTCCGGAAGAGAAGCAGAAATGAAGCTGGTTCGAACTTCAATGGAGGTTTGAAGAAATCAAAGCCAGGTTTGTACATTTTATAGATCTACTTTTGTTCTCAGTTTTATGCTTATTTGGCCTTTTTGAATTGTCGTTTTCTCGTTATGAATCTTATGGAGGAATACTGTTTGCATTATCTGCACCGTTCGTTTATGTTGTTTAGATTTTGGTATGTTCATGTCTCATGTATTGAAAGCTTTTCCGTATTTCATTTGGCTTCTTTGTTCTGACTTCTCTTGTAATCGAGGGAGGCGGTAGAGCAGGAATGGCTGCTGGTTGAAGTACTTTGAACCAGTGCTAACGCTAAATTGAGTAAAATACTCTCCTGAAAAAGAAGTAAAATATTTATGTTTAGGAGGATGAACAGAGGCTTGCATAAATCGTAAGAAGAGGAAGAAATTTTTGAAGAGAGACAACTTGGTGTCTTAACTGTTTACTAGGGGAACTTTATGTTTATCACTTGCAGCTGGAAGAGATGAACTTCTAATTATTAAAGAAGATGAATTCTCTCTGAAATATGCATAGAAAGCCTGAAAGCTTTATCTAGGTGAAAAGGGTATACAAAACCTTAAAGACACTGAATTTACAGTGTAGTGTGGCTTTATATCTTTATTTACTGCGACGACTAAGGTATATCTTACAGAATATATGGTGAACTCTCTTCTCTAATATTGAGATTCTGAGTTTCCGAGTTATAATTGAATGTAGTTCGTTACGATGTTAATAAAGTATATGATATCTTTAAAATTTTGTCCAGCATCAATTTAGAAACTATCAAAATTTCTAACTTGTAAAAATTAATTAATTTGGTGCAACAGAAATGGACTCCTTATCAGGTGGTATAGGAAGTAAAACGAAGCCATGCACGAAGTTTTTCAGGTTCAAATCTTTCCCACCTAATGACATTTTTTAACTTTAAATTTGTTGTGGACTTTTAATTGGTATCAAGTGCAAGATCCAAACGTTCAGTATTTTCCTGTTGTGAGAAGCTCAAAAGAATAAATATTCGCCCTTGAGGGCTGAGGTTGATGAATTCTCAATAAATTGTCTAATAGTTAATGACGAGACAGCTGTCTGTTAACGATATCCACAGAGATAAATATTTACCCGCTGTAATACACTTGGAGGAGAGGGGAACTCTAATATAAAATATTGTCACAGTCCTCCAAAGTTTCTATCTACTATGTACTGCAATGATTTTTTTCAAGCCTTAATATGTTTCAAACAGGTAGGTAATTCTTTTTTTAACTGTAAAGCTGCGTAGAGTTGGTATAATCTATGTAGAGGTATTTATTTAATGTCTAAAATGGCTGAATCTCAGTTTTCTGTGTCTACAAGTTAGTGGACTTCTTAAAAAGTTTGAGTTGCAAAATGGTACAGAAGGCATCTGTGGGACACTTTACCATTTGATGCTTTATATTACAAGTACATGCCATATCCTTTTTGAAAGAGTAATGAGCTTGGATTTAGGTGATGTCCTTTTTCTTCAGTTCAGAAGGGCTGAATGGGTGCTGAAATTTCGTCCTTGTGATGCTCTTCAATTACATGAAAGGAAGTATTTTCTAAAGTCAGAAACTTTTTAAATCAATGCATTCTTAGCTAAGAATAGAACATAGTGCTAGCACACAATCCAAGATGGTGTATCAAGTTATCAAGAGGCTTAGTTGTTGTCTGCAGATACATTAGGTTGGTGTTCATAAGGATTCTTTTATTTTGGTTAAGGATTTGTATGTTTCTGTGTAGGATAAGAGTAAGGATTTGTATGTTCATAAGGATTCTTTATTTTATTCAAAGGAATAGTCTTAAGAACCCGTACTTGTCTTAAAAATTATTAGATTGTGATGAAACAGGCCAAAAGCAAATAACCTCAAGGATTCAGTCAATTTTGACCTGATTTTTTATTTATTCAATTTTCCTCAATGTTAATCAAAGTGAGTATTTTTTATGTCCTTTGCTTTGGATGAATAACAGGGAGAGTTATTATCTTTTCTTCATTTGAACATCGTTTGTTTCAAAAAATCAGTTGTTTCAAATGTTCTTCTCATGGGAGATTGGGGTGCGCAAAAGGGAAGTAGTTGTATTGTGTCTTCTTGGTGATTGCCTGATTGGAGCCTAGGAAGTCAGCAAACCCTTTTTTGCAGCTCTGTTGTATGTATATAATATTGGTTGCAGTTATCCACCATTGTTAAAAGCACTTGAGTGCAGCTAGAGTGCTTGCTTTTTTTGTTCTGTGGGATGCCCTTTCCCTTGTTCTTAGAATATGGTCTGGATAAGATTCTCATTTGCATTAGTATACTAGTCCTGTTATGGTGAATTGATAATATCTGCTTTCTGGATTATACCTGTTTGCTAATATTGAGATGGGAATTATGTTCTTAGCTTGGTTTGGAGTTGATTTTGGTCGATTTGTTTTTACACAGCACTGCTGGCTGCCCATTCGGTGAGAGCTGTCATTTCCTTCATCACGTCCCTGGTGGCTATAATGCTGTGGCCCAGATGATGAACTTAGGATCAGCTCCACCAGCATCAAGAAATGTGGCTGCACCACCCATGTCCAATGGAAATGCTCCTGCTGTGAAAACCAAACTTTGCAACAAATTCAACACTGCCGAGGGATGCAAATTTGGAGACACATGCAATTTTGCCCACGGGGAATGGCAAATTGGCAAGCCGATTATGCCATCACAGGAAGATCCACGTGCCATGGGGGTTGGACCTGCTCCTAGTCGTTTTGGTGGGCGAACAGAGCCTCCTGTTTCTGGACCTGCTGCTAGCTTTGGTACCACGGCAACTGCAAAGATCAGTGTGGATTCTTCTCTCGCTGGAGCAATCATTGGGAAGGGTGGTGTGAACTCTAAGCAGATTTGTCGACAGACGGGAGCAAAGCTGGCAATCCGGGAGCATGAAACAGACATTAATCTCAGAAACATTGAACTGGAGGGTACCTTTGAACAAATTTCTCAGGCTAGTGCTATGGTAAGAGAGTTGATCAACAGCCTTGGTCCAGTAGGTGGCCCTGGGAGAGCTCCTTCAGGTCATGGAAGAGGTCCGGCTGGTCCTGGTGGCCCCGCCCCTCCTATGAGCAATTACAAGACGAAGCTCTGCGAGAATTTTGCTAAAGGGTCTTGCACTTTCGGGGATAGGTGCCACTTTGCCCATGGGAATGATGAAATGCGCAAAACAGGAACCTGACTTTAAGAAGCCAGGTTCTTCTCTGTGTTACCTTGCTTGTGGTCGGTCATGCTGATACATTGTATATCTCAATTTTGGGCTCTAGTTATGAAATGCAACTTCATGAGAGGAACCGAGTATTATCTAGGCATGAATTGATATCTTATTAACAGTACACTATTAGTTCTAGCTTTGTTGAGTTGTGTTAGTTGCTTATTAGCTCTGTTTTCTCTTTCATTTATTTAATTAATCCCTTCTATATCTTGGTAGTTTTTGATTGTTGTCTGAAGGATGTCGCATGAATATCATTAGATTACATGATCTTGCTTGACTCTTCCCTTTTTTCCCCCTTTGAACCATTGGTGATCGTTATCGTATTCTTTAGCGGGATGTATGTCTCCATTAGTACTTTTGTTTCAGGTGAGTTTGTTTTTTTCTATCTAACAAGAAAACTACTACTTGCATCAAGTTAGTTTGTCATGTTACGAATTTGGAATAACTTAACTAATTTGCATTTCTTGAAACATACAATAATCAAAAAATATAACAACATGAAGAAGAGGGGAAATTAAACTCCCCCAAATGTAGTGTCATTAAGGCAACATAGGCTTCAAAAGCCATATATTTCTAGCTCAATATGATATCCTAACTATAGATTTGGATTCAGGATTTGATGATCGTGGGTTTTGATCACAAATCTTTTTATTTATTAGATTCTCAATAACAGCTATTGAATTTTACTTAACCCGTAACCTTATTGTGCTCCTCTCGAGCCTAACTATAGTTACCAGTTACCACCAGTGCTATAGTTTAGCTGTTATGAGGGTGTCCAGTGGAACCCGCAGTTGCGTTTGAATAATGTGGCCTCCCGGTGCCCGTGCCGGCGCCATGGTGGAGAGCTGCATTGCGGTCTTGAGTTACTTGCTTGTTCATCTCTGCTTCATAGATCCTTTCATCTTTCTTCTCCGTTGCCATCGCTTTTTCGGTTGGATCATGAGCTTTCATCTTCTCCACCTTAAAAAAGTAAAACAAACAAATTTAAACAAAATAATTGTAAAATTATGGATGGAAAGTAAAAGAAAAACAAAAACGATAGATAACCTTTTCTTGGACAGTAGCTTTAGTTTTTTCCATGCCAGATTTTGCCGAAGCGGCAACATTTGATGCTTTTTCCTTCAATGACTGCATTTTGTTATTCTAATTAGTTTCTGCAAATGTAAAAATACTTTTATGCTCGATTAGTTTATGTTATATAATAGTATTATACTATCGCGATTTAATTATATTTGGCTAATGAGTAACGGTATAACACATGCCCTCATATTGCATCGTACATTATCGTTCTTCACTAACATTTCGACATCTGTCGAGACAGGTGTTAGAGTTCATCGAAGTGTTAGCAAAATGTCTGAAGTAGAGAATTTTTAGGATGAGGAGAAAATTGGGATTTTTTGTGTTTCATATTTACTTAAAAGGATAAAACTTCTGGCAAGCAACAAATTTCAAGGAAATAAAATTAAAAAATTCCACTATTTTAAACAATTGTTCTCCTAACAAAGAGATAAGTAGAATTAATTATTGTTTGAAAAGATAATGATTATAAAAAAAAAAAAAATCAGAACAAAGGATACTTAAAGCCAAGTATATATAGTTTAAACACATTTAATTAGGGATTTGTCTCAAAATAAGTATTACAATTAAAAATCATGTTCATTAAAATTAATAAATGTAACATAAGATCTATTAAATTATCTATTTTAATAAATGTCTCATGAAAATTTAAAAATTATAAAAAAGATGGGACCATAAGAATATAGTGGAAAAGCCAAATTGATTTTCTATCTTCAGTTTTTAGAATAACACTAACTTGGAAATGGAGAAAGTACTATTATTCAACTTCTAGGACCCAAATATGATATTTATAAAAATTTCTAGGGAACTTATACATTTTTGTTTGGACATGCCATATACCATTTAAATTTCTTAAATGGTAGTGTAATATTTTTCATTAATATAGAGCCCTACAAATTTATGATAAACAATAAAATTTCATCAATTTTTGTACTCTTATAAATGAAGAAATCATAATTCATAAACACCACATTGATAAATCACACCTTTTTCATATTTTTTAATTAAATATCCACTAATCAACAGTAATAACTCTTCATTTATTTTTTATATAATTTTTATATATAACCTCTTCTTAAACTTATCAATTATATTTTATATTTTAAAAAAATTAAAATCATAATATAAAATTACATGTCCAAACGTGAACTACTGCGAAACAAAACATAAACATTCTTAATATAGGAAGAGTACCACTTTATTTATTTATTTAATTTGGTGTCAATCTTAAAAGCTAACACCCACACAAAAAGTGTGAATCACATCCCTCCCCTAATAACAAAACAAAAAAAACAAACACCAAAATTAAAGTAAGTAGCTTCATTTTATTTTTTCTTTCTAAAAAGTGGTATGATCGCCGGTGGTGGCACCATAACCAGTTCCAGTTCCAGTTGTAGTTCCTCCTTGTTTTGCAGCTGCATGCTGTGCCTTAGCATCTCTCTTCTCCATCTCCGCCGCTGCAACCCTATCCTCTTTCTTCTCCGTTGCCATCTCTTTCTTCAATGGATCCCTCGTCGTCATCTTCTCACCCTGCACAAATAGATATATATGAACTCATAACTTTAAAAATATAACTCAAATCAACAACAAAAAATTGAGCGAGTTATTGACCTATTTATTTATTTATTTATTTATTAGTGTAGTCCGTGGCGGAGCCAGATCCGAGAATAATAGTGTGTAACTGTAAAATAAAAAAAATAATTGTACTATTTGGAGTTCGAACCTGAAACTCTTTCATGAACACCCATAATCACTATGCTTTTGTCACAGGTGTCCAACTTTAAATATATATCCTTTAAATGTAGAATTTGACATATACGTAATATCTAGGGTACCTCATTTTAGTCCACAAATATATAGCCTAAATTGAATCATAAAAATATTTTTACAAATATCTTATATAATCATGGTAAAAAATAAAAAACCATCAAAGCGAATTAAGTTATGACGCGTATTTTAATTTATTTCAACTTAAAATAATTTTTAGACTGAGTTGATAAACCTCACATATTAACTCTGCTTGTCATTCAAATTCAATCCAACCCGCCAGACATCTAAAACACAAAAGACACTTAAAGAACCTATTAAAGGTAAGGAATTGGAAACCTTCTCTTGAAGATTGGCTTTAGTCTTCTCCATGCCAGCTTTGGCTGCAGATGCTGCGTCCTTTCCTGTCTGCATTTTTCTTTTTTTCTTCGCTAATCGATTAATTCGTTTCCTCTCTTCTTCTTTCTAGAGTGTTTGTAATTTCGTTTGTTATAAAAGTTAGGTGATGAAGTTTATATAGGAGTTTGGATAGATAACTAAGTGATGCCACGTAAATATTTATAAATGTACACGTGGTGAGTCATGAGATGTAGAATCTTTGAGGTTTTGACACGTTTGGTTGTCAGTAGTTGAGTAGATAGACATGTTAATTCCTTTTTGGATTTGTATCAACTAGTCCATGAAAAGATGACTTTGAATTCTAATAATGTACTTTTAAAATATGTAATATAATAATAATAATATTTTTAAAAATAGAAAAAATGCAGAGTATTTTCTGTATTTGTTAGACAGATTAAAATTTGAAATGTATTGCATTAAAAAAAAAAGAGAAATAAGAGAATTGATTGTCTATATAGTTATTTTACTATTGAAAATGGAATAGTAGGTAGCTATTACTTTTCTTTATATATAATGAAAAAATTACTTTACTATTGAAATATTCTATTATTGCTATATTGTTACATTAAATATGAATGTTGCTGGGTGGAGCCATACAGTAGTGTCAAGGTGTCTAGCTAGACGTCCTAATATTTATTAAAAAATTATGGTATATATAAAGTCAAATCTTATTGTATATCAGTATATAGAGTATTTTGAACACCCTTAGAACAAACGAAAACCTATAATTTATGTAGTATCTAATACAATCGCGCTCAGGTTCGAGTCCCTATAGAGTAACAATGCAAAAGATGATCTTAACCTTAGTTGATGTAAGACTCGTCCTATGAATAAAACCTGCGTTATCTCTCTAGTAGTTATAATTAAGTAGTCTATTTGTTAGCGATAGAACTAAGTATTTGAAAAGTAATAAAAAGAAGATAGCGATAGAACATAGTATTTGGAAAGTAGTCAAAAAATTACATTTACATTCTACATAATAAGAGTTCAAGCTTTATATATCATTAGTAAACCTAAGTAATCTCCTTTTAGGAATTGAACCAAGTATTTATTAAGGATATACAGTCAAAAGATTATATTAGACGTATATAAAATAAAATAATCTATTTTTTTTTGGTTATACGTGAGTTGTTAAACCTCTTGATACAACGAAAAATTCGAATATAGATGTACATGAAGTTCAAATTTACTTTTAAATTGTATATTCAATTTACAACTATGCAAGAATTTTATTCAAATTATAACCACTATTACATTCTAAAATTTAAGAATGTTATTTGAATCTCTTTGTATAAATTCCTTACAACTTTTTTTTTTTACCTAATATAAGGTGACTTGATGGGATGATGTGTATTACTCGAAACTCCTTGAGAAATAAGGAAAAAAAAGAGATGTCATGGACAAACTCTTAATACATTACTTGTATTAAAAAAAAAAATTCATCTTGTATTGGATAACGCGGTTTACATAACAACATTTAGAAGTATTAATTTTACAACTCAAACCAGAAAAACAACTTCCTATCTAGCTAGGTAATTAAAAGGCAGAATCAGTGGTAGATGATCCATGGCGCCCACCAGTATTAGGGCCTTGAACCGTAGCTCTTCCGCTTCCCGTGGTGGTCCCTGGTGGATACTCGCTCCCCACCATGCCCGTTGTGGTCCCGGTTGGGTGCTCCGCTGCCAGGCCTCCCGGCATCACACCAGTAGCTTGCCCTGCGGTAAGGCCGTGTGTCCCGGTCACACCAGTGGTTTGACTGGGTGTAATGTCATGCGTTCCAGTGGTGTGACCGAGACCAGTATGCTCTGGTGTGATGCCATGTGTCCCAATGGTGTGACCGAGGCCAGTATGACCTGGAGTAATGCCATGTGTACCAGTGGTGTGACCAAGACCGGTGTGACCGGTGGTAGTGCCATGTGCCCCAGTGGTGTGACCGAGACCGGTATGACCTGGAGTGATGCCATGTGTACCGGTGGTATGACCGAGACCAGTATGACCCGTGGTAGTGCCATGTGTCCCAGTGGTGTGACCGAGACCAGTATGACCTGCGGTCATGCCATGTGTACCGGTGGTGGTGTGACCGAGACCCACACCACCACCAGTAGCAGTATACGCAGTAGTTCCTCCAGTGGCAGCCGCTTTTTTTGAGGCCGCGTTCTGCTCCTGCGCCGCTAGCTTATCCATCTCCGCTTGATGGATTCTCTGCTCCTTTTTCTCCGTCGCCATTTGTCTTTGCACTGGATCACTTGTCGTCAATTTCTCCGCCTATCCAAACAAAATTTCAATTTAATTGATTATAACAAATCAAATATACTAATTAATTACTCTTCATGTGAAACTGATTTCACATTTCGCTAACAACCAAAAACTCGAAGATACAATATGAGAGTTACAAAGGATAGTTTTGACTGTTAACAAAATATGAGATAAAAAACCTTCTCTGTAACAACTGCCTTTGTTTTTTCCATGCCAGACTTAGCTGAAGCTGCAACATTAGCTGCGGTTTTCTTTGTTGCTTCCATCTTCAAATTATTCCTTCTCTTCTTTGTTAGTAGTTGTATAGATCAATTGGCTCTGATTTGTTTTTTTCCAGAAAATATGATTCGATGGGACTATAATATAAAGTTTCTTGATTATAAATACTGCACGGGACAAAATTATTCATCGTTTGGCATGATTTAACAAGGACATGGGGGGTGATGCCACGTGGAATTAAAGTGATACGTGGATGCATATAAGAGTTGGATGCATGAGATTCAAACACGTTTGTAAAATTGTCAAAATGATAAGAATTGCTTGCGGCTTGACGTTAAGTTGTGACGATTTGGTTCGCCTAAGTCCATTTTTACTTATTCAATTTAAAATAAAATGTTATTTTATTATTATCAAGAAAGCAGAAAATAATAAAATGCATCGTGAAGATAATATCCAAGTGTATACTACATGTTTTAAGTTTCATTGCCGTAATTAAGTTGTAACACATTTTAAATCAAATGGTCATGTTTGTTTTATATTGTGATCAATTGGTACTAATACGAATAATTAGGTGAATTTTACGCGATTTGTTGCATACAGTCACAAATATAGAGATTCACTCAATGTAAGTTGACAAGTATCGTATGTTAGTCATGTGTCATTCCATTGAAATGTAATTATTGGGTCGACAATTAAAATTTAATAAATTATTTTAAACTAAATATATTAAAAAAATTATTCATTTTTAAATACGAAAGCAATATTTGTTACTCCAACATTCTTCCTAGAGTTCAAAGAAGTGAACTGATAATGTAATTTTTAAATTCTATGAATGATTCATAAAATTCAAATATATATCAAATCAAATTTTAGAAATAAATTTATGGAGTGCCTTATTTTTTAAAAATTAATATCCATAAAAGGGCAATTTTGATTTTTGCCCACTACATTGGATCTCAGCAACCCGACCCATTAACAATTGCTCCGAAGCCGATAATCTCCTCCTTCCAAATCCCGTTCAACATTTGCTCCGGTCATAGTACTCTTCTCCGATCTCTGCAATTGAGAGGAGCTCAGCCAAAATTCTCTGCACAGTTCCCAAGTAAGTAATCTCTCACCCAATCTGCTCGTATAAGCATGATCTAGTTTGAATCCACACTTCAGATACAGAATTGTTAGCTTTAAGCAAGACTTTGTGTGCAAAAATTAGCAAAGATCTGATAAAGATCGACCCAAAAAATGTCTTGTTTGGCACTTTCTCTGCAACCCACTAATGGACCTGATATCTTACTCCAAACCCGTGAATGGTTTCCACCATCTCGAGCCCTAATGGCACTTTCAGCTTTTCGCCAGACGCGTCTTGCATTTTCCAAACAACCACAACAAACTACCGCTGACTCATATCCTTCCGATCCTTCTATGTCACTTGGTGATGACCCACTTGCGGCTTCTTCGGGTCAAGTTATTGTTGGGGTTGAATCGAGGTATCGGGTTGTGTATCGTCTTGTGAACTCGATTTATGTGCTTGCTATTACTACTGCTGATGATAATGATAAAGATATGGTTGTTAATAATGTGTTTGAGTGTATTAGTATTGTGAATCAAGCTGTTTCAGTGGTGGTTACTGCGTGTCGTGGTGTAGATGTGACACCGGAGAAGTTAGCTAAGAAATACGCGGAGATTTATATGGCGTTGGATATTGTGTTGAGAGGGGTGAGTAATATTAGGTTGGCAGCTATGTTGGCATCTATGCACGGGGAGAGTATAGCGAAGATGGTGCATTCAGCTGTTCATACGGAGAATAAGATTAGGGGAGGTGATAGTTGGGTGAATGTGGAGGCGCATTCGTTGGAACAAGAAGGTGGATTGGAGACATTCTCGAAAGCGTTGTTTGAGTTGCCTCAGGAAACGTTGGAGGCGGGAGATGAAGTGGCAGCCACGTTGGCGATTACGGGTGGAGAAAAGGAGGAGGAGAAAATTGAGGAGATTGAGGTGGAGCAGGATCCATTTGCAGCAAGTGATAAGATTAATCAGCCAGAGTCCTTGATGGGTGGTTTTAAGAAGGACAAGGCTAATGAGAGTTCAGATGTCGCAAAGGCATTGGCAGGGCTTGACGTGACTACCCTGCCACCTGCTGCAGCTAGCCAGTCAACTCACATCGGTGTGGAAGGGTTTGAAGGAGAGTATGGAGGGATAGAGTTTAGTAATGAAGGATCAACACTGCGAGAAGATTTTGAAGGCATCAATGATGCCTGGGGTGGTGGATTAGATGCTTCTGAGTATGTGGGTACGAAAAAGGTGAAGAAAGATCAGGGTCTTGGTGGGCTTGAATTACTGGCGACTAGTGAACCACCAAAAGCTGCAGCTGGAGCCACTGCTGAGGGTGCTGGGAAGAATCTTGAGGATATTTTGGTGAAGAAAATGAATGGTCCAGAAATGTTTATTACTGAGGAGATCAGTGCCGAGTTCAGAGAATCATTGCTTGCTAGAGTTGGTTTGATGGGCATTGTTTACTTAAGAACCCTGCCGCCAAAGTCTTCCGATGATAACGAAACTGAGTTTTCTTTCAAGGTTGAAGACACTGCTGCTGTTAAAAGGTTTGTCATGCAAAATTCTCGTGTGAGCAGCCTTGGGAATGGTCTGTTTCATGTGAAGACAGCACCATCAAATGAGCCTATACCAATTATCAAGTACAGTTTGCTACCACGTTTAACTCCGCTGCCTTTGAGGATTCGACTTGTTAAGCGTCTTAGTGGGACATTACTTTCTGTAATGCTGCAGTACGTTGCAAATCCTGATATTCCAGTTCCATTAACCAATGTGACCTTTGTCTTGAAATTGCCAGTGGACCCAACATTATTGAAAGTTTCACCTAAAGCTGTGTTGAACCGCTCTGAGAGAGAACTGAAATGGCATGTTGATGAGATTCCGCTCAAGGGTCATCCTGGCAAATTGAAGGCGAGGTTCCCCATTGATATTAATGATGATGATGAGGCGGTAGAGCTAGAGCTTTTTGGTTATGTAAAGTTTTCATCCCAAGGAACTAGATCTTTGTCTGGCATTTCTCTGCAGCCGGCTTTAGAGGGCAAGACTGATTTTTATGAGGTTGATCACAGGTATTCAAGTGGAGTTTACACATGCAACTAATCATCAATGGCTTCTTTTGTTGGTTTAGAAATTGTGTGTCTTTGTGCTTTCTATCTTTTAACATGGTATGAGTTATCAAAGTATTTGCAGCTTTCTTTGAATGTACTAGCATGTAATTTAGATGATCTGGTTTTTGAGGAATTCTTTTGTTTAAATCTTCCCAATATTTCTCTTTATGTAATGGGACAAAAGATTTTTTTATATCTGATATATCTTGTCTAAATAAAGTTTTTTTTTTTTTTTTTGGATCCTGACATCTAACATCATTTAGAGTAATATTATCTTAAAAAGCTAGTCTTTGTATGATTTTTGACCCAAGTCTTATCTCTAACATCATTTAGAGTCCCCCCAGCTCTCCCCCAACCCCTCAAAAGAAAAAGAAAAAAGAGAAGAAGATGTATCTCCGTATGTCCCTTCCTCTGTTTCCTTTTTCCCCTTTTGTTGATGGAACATGGAAGTGTCTTGATAAATATAAATTTGAAGATATTTATATTGCCTTTTTTTAATTTTGTGTTTGATCTTGTTATGTGTCAAAAATGAATCTGAACTACTAAGCCAGCTATAACTGTTTTTTTTTTTTGGGGGGGGGGGGGGGGAAATTTTTTTTTTCCCTTTTTTGGTACGC